GTGTTTCCCAAAATTAGGGGTCCCTTTTGAGGGGTTCCTGTCATAAGGACTTTAGTATTTGGGGTTTTGTTGGCGCCCCCCTATTCTGGGAAACCACCATACACATCATTCCGTGCAGGTTCAAAGTTGTATTACTAGATTCAGGGCATCTCATATGAACTAGAGTCTAAACTCCTTAGAAGGGGATTATTTAGGGGACTACTATAGGGGTGAGTATAGGAGCTTAGATTGTAGCTAATATGAAGAGCTATGGCGTTCCTTGCTGGCTGAAGGAATTGAACCTTGGGATTCTTATTGGGGTTTGTGCAGGGACCACCATTAATGCTCATTAGGGTTCCGCTTCTGCAATCCTTATGAACCAGTGGTAAAGGCTATGAGGTGGATTCAACAGCGTAGAATGGGACTATAGAAGCGAAATAATTCAATTGCTCGTCTCCCTTACAATGGCGACTTGGGAGTCAGTGAACTAACCCGAATTTTTATACACTTATTGCAGGTCCTTCGACTCGAAGACGGGATTTCCAGAAATAGGACTCAAAAATCAAGGCCGAAATACCATAGTCCCAAGTATGAAAACCCATAAGACGGTACCCCTGAGTTTTGGATACACCCAAGTGGGCCGGGGTGCCCTAAATCCTAAACATTGAACCTTAAACCCTAAACACTAAACCCTAAACACTAAACCCTAAACACTAAACCTTAAACACTAAACCCTAAACGCTCAACCCTAAACCCTATAGCTATTGTATCCCAGTGTTTCTTCAGGCTACGTCTGCTTTGGACACAGAGTCCGAGCGGATGGTGCAATCCTTAGGGGATTGCTTTGTCGGGTTTAGGGTTTGGGGTTCAGGGTTTATGGAGGGTTTAGGGCTTCGTGGCTTATAGAGCGTCATGAGGCTTTGTACGGTTTACAGAAGTTTGTGGGGCTCATGGGCTTTCAACCCTCCCCTGAAAACATGGAGCTCGAAAAGGATCCCTACACGTTACACTGCTCATCTGACAAGGGCCACATGTAGATCCATGCTGGCTTAGGGCAAGGTAGACGAAACAGAAAATTTTATGGGCGATGTTGTGTTGGCTACCTGCAATGCTTTCTGCGCGTCTTAGGTTGCGGGGTTATGCTGCTTTCAAGGTACAGGCCACGCTGGACATGCTCAACACCGAGCGCCAATATACCACGATATCTATTGCCCACCGGCTCATAACCATCAAGGACAGGGTCATCCAATGAAGGGTTCGGCAAAAAGGTGGTTTCCTTAAATAGGGTGATCCAGATCTAGACTTCGAAATAATGTAGTCCTTATTATGGGGCCCTGATTTCGACTCCCCATCCCTATAACCCCCTACATAAATCCACTTCGCATGGCATGTTGGATGTGCTTTCCATCTGATTCTCCACCATTCGGCTAATATACTTATAGAGTCCTTATATACCTCTATACAATAATGTCCCGATATAACCTCTTGGAGGTGACCCCTAATGTTGGGAACTCCAGTGGGACGGCTGTACCCTGCGCTGTGTTAAACATACAAAAGGGCTTAGGGATTGCATACATGGGTGGTGCCAATAGAGACCGCAAAAAAGCTTGCGATCCTAAGCATAGGGACCCCCAAAAGAGGACCTATGATTTCAGGAAGCTCCCCCCTTGTCGGCCATGCACCCCGCATGTACTTCCTTACCAAATCATTCAAAGTCAGAACAGACTGTACTAGAAAACACCCTCGAAAGCACGAGTATCCCCCTTAATAAGCCCTATAATAGTTCCCTATACAATCCCCTATATAGCCCCCTTTTGAGGGGTTTAGACTATAGTACATATCGCCATTCAGGATTCGGACGTCATCTACGTGCTCCAAGATGGATGCTGCTCTGAGCAGGGGAACCATGAGCAGCTCATGGAGCAAAAGGGGGTCTACTACAGCATGGCCATGCTACAGCAGGCAGCTTAGAACAGCAGATTTAGGTTAGGGCCTATATGGGAATGTCCCTAAATGAATTAGGGGTACCTTTTGGGGGTTGAAATCCATACCAAGGATTATACTACTTTGGGGTCTACATTGGGGTCCCCCTGTTTTGAGAAGCTACCATAGCGCTTTCGGATGATTACAAGGGACACTCCACCATATGAGCTGTAGTCTAAACTCCTTAAAGGAGCTTACATAGGGGATTATATAGGGGACTACTATAGGGGTTATTAAGGGGGATACTAGGAGTTTAGACTATAGCTCATATTGTTCTCAAGGTTTCAGTGCCCTGAAGGCAAGGATGGAGGAGAATGAAGCGGAGGGGCCCTCAACGCCAAATCGCGTGATATCCCCAGTACCTTGGTCGCGGTTTAGGGTTTAGGGTTTAGGGTTCAGGGCTGGAGGAAAATGTAGGCTTTCGTCACACGTGAAACCCAAAGAAGGACATGATAAGTCATGGCAATGTTTGTCCTTATCATCATGATGACTGGCAAGTCATTGCCTCCTCCTCCTCAGCAGCAGCAGTAAAAAATGAGGCGAGCCCCATCCCCCAGCAACCATCTTCCCTTCGTACGTCATCTGAAAAAGTATAATTTTCATTCCTGCTAATGGCTTTCAGACATTTCGAAGCTCGAGGAGCTCTTGGGATGGATGGAGGAAGGCTTTTCAGGTCATGACAATGCTCTTCGAATTTGAAGCTTACTTTGGACAGCATTTGATGTGTTGATGTATGATTCTCGAAAATTCTGCCACAACCTTTGCTGCTTCAGTTCTGCCTCGTTGCCCCTTAGTGCTCAAGGGAGCATTGGTGGTGGAGGGGCTGGTAGTCGTACTCGTCGTACTAGTATCATGCGTGTTGTCATTCTGGAGCAGCAGCAGCAGCAGCAGCAGCAGCAAGAACCACTACCCCCGCTTGTACGACGATGATGATGCCAACTATTGATTACTACTAGTCTTGCTACTGCTACTACTGCTACTACTACTCCTCCTCCTTCTCCTAATACAACGCTCTTCTGGTGGCGTTTGCTGTTGCGTCCTAGACCCAGGTTAGCTTCCTTGACGCAGTCACTGCACCGGACGACGATGTACCTGTGTTGTTGTTGAAGAAATTTTACAATCTTATGTGTAAATCCGACTAAAAAAGGGAGCTGTCACATTTTGAGTCCTTTTTCGTTATGCCACATATAATGGGCTGTAGTGTAATGGGAACCCCTAACGACGGTGCCTCAAAACGTTCAAGGTACAAGCTGCTAGTCCAAGGGTCTGGCGTCGCCTCCTGGGCATGATGAGGCTGCTTGGGAGCTTCCAAAAAGTGAGTGGATTTTGTGTGGGGAAGTCCTTATGCAGGGAGCCAACGTCCCCCAGTTGTCAAAACTCTCTCTCTATATATATATATATGCATGCATATTCAGTTAACAGGTTCTTGTCTGTTTGTGTAGTGGTTCCAACTTGGAACACAAAATGTGGAGTCACCCTGCTGAGGATGCACTGGTGGATTTGGCCGGTTGCATTCATGATCATCATGGCCGATGCAGCTTCCATGCCCCTACAAGCCTACTTCTTCAATTCGGCCACTCGGTTGTGGTCTTGATTCTAGTGAGAATAGCGAGGTTGGCGGGGCCACGGGTCCATGTCATGGGTGACCTGAAGCAATGACGATTCCTAAAATTCAATGTATCCACTAAGGGATTGAAACTGTGACATTCTGGTAGGGTGTTGCTTTTGGTTTGGGTCAAGGTCTATGCTTTAGGCTTGGGTAATTGTACATAGGGTTCCCTAAGAAGTTTGGTGATTGGATTCGTGGGATGGGATGTCCTTCGACGAAAGCACCACCACAGAGATTGCCTCCATCCAACGCGTCAGCGCAATCCCTGCCCAGCTCAGCACACTCTGTGTGGATCTCCTGGATTAGGGTTTACGGTTTAGGGGTTTAGGGTTTAGGGGTTTAAGGGTTTAGGGGTTTAGGGTTACGGGCTTAGGATGTACATTGTATTCTTTTCAGGTTAAAATGACAATCATCAAAAACCCTGACTGGGATTCCTCAACGCTAACCCCAACATACACTGAAACATCATCATCCCCTCAGCTCCCCAAGGATAGGGTTTAGGGTTTAGGGTTTAGGGTCGCCCAACTGAAACTTCCATGCAGGCCATCATGTCGCTTTTTCAGGGTCCTGGCGATCCGAACCTCGATCGTGCAGTGTTTGGCCTGTTACGCAGCTGAGTTGGGGAGTACTTTCATCAAAACTGATACGGAACTTCGAGAGGGTGCCTATATAGACGGCTGACCTTTAGATGGGCCTATATGGGATTCCATGTTGGTCTGAGGGAGGGTACGTAAATCACCACGACCTGGTTGAAATCTTGGGTTCCATCCAAATCCTCCTTTGAAAGCGAAAAGGCCTTTAGGGACGCTTGCCTCACTTGGTCCACCGCATCAGCCCCTTTCTTGAATTGGAGGCAGAAACCAAGCCCTCTTTCATGTCTTCTTTTCCGCCCGCGCAGCCAGGTTAATCGTCGGGTTGTGTTCCGGCACCTTCACACTGCTCCAAAACTCGCTCTTCGCCTATGCGCAGGAGCGCAGATTGTTGACTTTAACTTGGAGAACTTTCAAATGGAATATCCTGAGGCATTATGCGATTACACGAGCATTGGTTTATCGGGGAACTCCTAGGGTTCCATTTCAAAAAAGACTGCACATGCTGATACTGTTGATGGGCTGTCTTCAGCTTTCGACACGGTCTTCAGTATAGGAGCCCAAAAGAAGTCCAGAACTTGAGAAAAATCAGGTGCCATTTTCTTGTATTCTCTAGTTGAAAGAAACCCGATATACCATCAGCCTGGTCTCATGCGATAGCATCACCCTCAGGCATCCTGAAGGTGCTTGTGGTGGATAAAAGCGAGCCTTTAGAGGGTGCTATGGGTATAGTCCCCCTTAAGTAGATGGAATATGGGGATCTTATTGTAATATACCCAAGGCCATATTCTATCTACTTAAGGGGGAATATAGTAGTTGCTGAGCAGGAGTGCTTGTGCATGATTCTGCGCAAAGCCGCTTTTGCAAGCACTATTCGGATGGAGATAGGTGCCTGGGCACGCAAATAAAAAAAACTATCCCGATGCCTGCTGTAAAGTACATCCTGAATCCCCCTATAACCCCCCCCTCAACTAAGATTCTTCAAGGCTAGGCCTGGGGAACCTGGAGGGTGGTATGAGTAGGAGTACCCATGAGTATAGAACTCTTCCAAAGCCCATTTGCTTCTCCATGGGTTCCAATGGGCTCCATACATTGAGAGTCAGGCTTCTTTGACGCACCAGAAAATCAGACGTCAAGCATCCTGGTATCACTGGAGAGGCACATGAACCGCGTGGGGCAAATGTTAGGCATTCAACTCGGAAACTCCATGGGCGCCATTTTTACATGCGTCCTCTCCGTGGGAGTTAGCTTCCTGGGTTCCTGGGTACTGGCCCTGGCGACGTTGTTTCTTCTGCCGATCTGCGGTGTGCTCATGATGGTGTTGGCTGGCTACGCCACCAAGAACGAGCCTGAGGCCGGATATTTTCCTGCTACCCTTTATTAAATGTTAAACTCCTCAGTAAGATCTTATATACGACTACTCCCCATGCGGCACAAAAATATGTGGAAGAAATACTCAGTATTTGGGGGGTGGCGCAGGTTGATTGTTAAGGGGAGGGGCATACTACATTTTGAAAAGACTAATGCTTGGTGATGGGGCCCTTTGTGGTGAAGCTAGAGTACGAAAGTCCTCAGAGTGGTAATCTAGGGACATTATGATCCCCGCAAAAGATGCGCCAAATTCGTGTTGATAGGATTCAACGAAAACTGAAGCGTCCCAGACCTTCCGTGTTTGGGATAGGCAGCCCTTCTAAGCTTCATGGGTAGCTAGACATGGGTTTTACAGCTTCATCACTATCCAAATCCTTGAACACTAAACAAGAATCCACAAATCCACTGCAATGATTGCCCCCGAGCCTCCAAACAAAATGTTGTTGGGATTCTCTAGCTGGGTCCTCATCCTTCAGCCTAGTTCGCATATTGAATTATTGCACCCATATTTTGAGGAACTCTAGACTCTTTAACACCAGACCCTAAACCTTGGAACTTGAAAACGTAAGTCGAACCTCGTTGAACAACCCGAATAGTAGTTTCTCCATGAGTCGGGGATTCCGTTTTGCATCCCAAAATACGATCATCCTCACTATCGGGACCCTAGGGATGGGCCCCGGTGAATCCTGTAATGCCCCTAAACATGAGCTATAGTCTAAACTCCTAGCATCCCCCTTAATAACCCCTATAATACTCCCCTATATAATCCCCCATATACCCCCCCCCCTATAAGGAGTTTAGACTATAGCTCATATAATCCCGACCCTACAAAGCCCCCATGAAGCCCTTCTAAGGACCCCTTAGTTTTCGGAAACTTCCAAACACCCCAAACCCGAAACCCTAAACCCCTGAACCTGAACCCGAAACCCTAAACCCTAAAACCCTAAACCCCTAAACCCTGAACCCTAAACCCCCCCAAAAGAGGCGCTG